ATAACAAAGAAATGAGATATGTACTAATAATACTAGAACTCAACTATATACAAAAGATCAAAGAGAAGCTAAACAAAAACAGATAAAATTACATAAAGAACAGAGATATCAAACAATAGCACCTAAACTACAATCATCAACAAGTGTTTCAATAGACGTAGAAAAGAGTTAGATACAACCTCAACAAGCCTCTGTAGTATAACCAAAGAAAATAATTCAGAAACGGTTACCATCTATGGTTAATAAATTGGATTCATATGATATATCTGAAGATTTATTAAATACTAAAGCCAACGCTATGTATGGACAAATACTTCAATATCTGAATCAGTGACAAAATTGGGTAAAGATATTAAGGAGAAAAAACTACCAACTACCGAAGCTAATCGAATCGAAACAGATAGAATACGAAAGACTGTGGCTATAAGATGCTATGTAAGAATCAACAGTAATCCTATAATAGCAATCTTAGATTTTGGAGCTGTAGTGAGCATTATTACTGACAAGTTAATGAAAAAATTAGGATTGAAATTTACCAAAGAATTGAAAATAGTAGTTGTAACGGCAAATAAAGTAGGTCTAAAGCCAAAGGAATAGTCAAAAATGTAAGAATCATCTTACAAGATATCATCATACCAATAGACCTACAGGTGATAGAATCAAAGGATAAAACCTCTTGTTAGGGACTGATTGGTTTAATAAATCAAGTGTGACTTTAGATTTTGGAAGACATATATTGCATATTAAGTATTATAGTAAACAGGTGACTATTAATACTACATATACCAGCATTATTCTGCCAGTACTATTCGAAGAAAATGAAGATGAATTTGACGAGGATCAATAGATCAACAAATTAGACAAAAAAGAAGAATTGGAAATCTTTTTCTCAGACAAAGTAAGTACTGAATCTGAAGATGATTTGTATTATAACTCTTGGGAAGACAAATCTAGCCTAGCCATATATCTTACCGAATTTATGGAAGGTTTAAATCAAGATGATCAGAAAATAAGTTACAATGTTGGATTAAAAGTTACTACTAAACAGCAACAAGAAGCTCGTGAATTATTAGTTAAGAACTATGACATTATCACTACAGATATATCAAAAAAAGGCCAGACTATAGGATAGGTTATACGAATATAGTCTAATACTGTATTAATACTGGGAATGTGATATCTATTTAGCAGAAGCCATATTAAATTCCTCTGAATGCACAAGAATTCTACAGAAAGAGATATTGAAAATGGATAAATTAAGTATAATTTGAGCTATAGAAAGACCATGGGAATTGCTGGTAGTTATAGTTCTTAAGAAAAATTGAAAAAAGAAAATTTGTATAGATTATCGTAAGTTAAATACAATAACAGAAAAGGATATCTATTCTTTATCTAATATAAATGAAGTTTTAGATAGTTTTGAAAAAGCACAGTAGTTTTCAAGTTTAAACTTGGCTAGTATGTACTGGCAAGTAGCTATGGCCAAAGAAGATAAAAAGAAAATGACACTTATTACTAAATTTAGCACTTACGAATTTAATGTAATACTATTCGGGCTTTGTAATACACCCACTATGTTTCAGAGATTAATAATTCAGTATTAAGAGAATTTATAAATAAGTTTATAGTAGTATATTTAGATAACATTACTATATATTCGCATACTTTCGAAGAATATCTTTAGCATCTTTAGCAAGTGTTTGACAAGCTTAGAGAAGCTAAACTAAAATTAAATCTTGAAAAGTGCTTTTTTTTTTTACCAAATATCAAGTTTTTAGATTACGTAGTAGGAAAAGACAGATTAAAAACTGATAAGAATAAAATTAAAAAGATAAAAAATTATCCTGTTCCAACAACCTTATGACAAATATGAGAATTTCTTGGACTTGTTTTGTATTATAGAAAATATATCAAGGATTTTTCAAAGATCGCTAAACCCTTGAATCAATTATTAAAGAAGAATAAACTTTATGTATAGACTGTGCCACAACAACAATCATTTGAAGTGTTAAAAGATCATCTTATTTCAGCTCTAGTACTACAACAACCTGATTTGATTAACTATTTTATATACATACTGATGTATCTATTTTAGAGTTGGGAGCTGTGTTAGCTCAATTTGATTAAAAGAAGAGGGAGTGTGTAGTATCATACTCTAGTCAAAGCCTAAACAAAACGGAGCAGAATTACTAAGCCACTGAATTAGAGTATTTGGCTTTGTATGGGCTGTCAAATATATGGGAAGTAAATATTTTTACCTTGTTACAGATCATGCAGCATTAAAATAGTTATAGACTAGTGAATTAAAAGGTGTTTGAGCTAGGTAGATCATATGATTGGAGCCTTATGATTTTACAGTAATTCACTGATCTGAGAAATACATAAAAATACAGATACATTATCAAGAATTTACGAAATTAATCATAATAAAGACAAAATATTGTGAAGTTACCTAGAAGATTATGCTGATAATATAGATATTGAGGTATTTATAGCAGAATCATAACAACAGTTCAAATCAGAAAATATAGAAATCTTAAATATCGTTGAGTCTACATTAAAATATTCTCACTCCCAGATGTTTAATGATACTTAAAGCCTTATCTTAATATTAGATTTACTCCGGAAGGCATCTATTACAAAAAATGATAAGTACGTGATACCATCTAGAGCATATTGCAAGTAGGTTTAATAAAAAGATAAAAAGAAGGGATACTCATGTGATTATAAGAGACCATCTGCCCAATATTGGTGCAGAAATAATTTGCATTCCTCTGAAGATGAGTATATAGCATATTATCTTGACTTAAAATTATAGATTATGGTTAAGAGTTATCTAATCAAAAAAGTTACAAAGAGTTATTAGTCAATACTATGCGACAAGAATAAGTAGCTAACAGAAAAATCAGAAATTATTAGCTTAATCACAATGAGAATATATATATGATTCCAGAAACTTATCTTTTACTCGATTATGAAGCAGATGAAAATGTTAAGACTTTTGAATTTCAGATTAACGAAACTGATTATGTGTTAAAGATCGATAAATTAGGGTTGGTCATTCAACCTTGGTAGTTCTTTTTACTAGAAACTCTATTAGCATCGTATTATCTAAAATTTAATAATTTTTCTAGTAGATATCTTTGCAATTTAGTTTGTAGAAAATACTGAATCTGATATATTAATTCTTTATCTTCAAATGATATAAAACCTTGATAGTTAGTCACTGCTACTATACAAGTAATAATTATAAAACAATCCTTAATCAATTAAATATATTATAAAAATTTACAAAATGGAACCACTCGAATATAATTAGCTAAAACATTACCTTGAAACTGCTAACTTTCTACCTAATATTACATCTAGAACACAAAGAAGAATAATTGCCCAAAGCAAAAATTTTGTCGTTATCAATAAACAACTATACAAAAGAAGAACTAACAACAATCAATTTATTTGCATAATACAAATACATGAAATCAAACTGATTTTGTTTTACTACACTATCATTCTACTAGAGCGCATCTTGGAACTAAAAAAGTTGTAGAAAAAATTAAATTCTGATATTACTGGCCTCAAATGTATGATCATATAAAAAACTACATTAAAATATACAACATGTATCAAAAGAGAGGGAAATATCGCATATCTGAATCTTTACAACCTATATTGGTAGAATCACCTTTTCATAAAATTAGGATTAACTACATAGGACTTTTGTCAACTACAGTTAACGGGAATAGATACATCATTATAGTGACAGACTATTTAACTAAATAGCCTGAGGCTCGACCTGTACTGATAGTGATTCACAAAATATTGTTAATTTCATATACAAAGAGATTATATACCAGCATGGATGTTCTATATATATTCTGACAGATAGAGGAAGATACTTTGATAATACGTTGGTAAAAGGCATCACAGAAAAATTTGGAATAAGGCACTTGTTATTTACTCTATACTATCCACAAATGAATGATTTAGTAGAATAATTCAATAGAATTTTATGTGAATCATAGCTAAATTAATTGAAAAGGAAGAACAATAGAATACTTATATACTATCAGTATTATTCACTTACAGGATAGCAAGGCAATCTACTACTAAATTTATGCCATTTTTGCTTACTTATGGCTGTGAAGCACAATTACCGATCTTTCTAAGGGAGGTGTTGGAGAAAAATATTTTGACTCAACTATATACAATAGTGGAGGAATTACTGACGAACAAAGAGAAAGCTAAGGATAATATTAAAAAGTCACAAGTTCAACAAAAATTTTATTGGAATAAAAAGCACAAGAAAGTTAAACAAATATTTTAAAAAAATGATCAAGTGCTATTATACAATGCTATGCAGTAAAAAAGTTTATCCAGAAAATTATTGCCAAAATAGAAAGGTCTTTATTGGATTCACCGTAGAGTTGCGCAAGATGTATACAAGTTGTGTGCACAGAATAGACTAATTTTAGATATACCAATAAACATAGTATTGTTAAAAAGATACTACACGCACGACAATAGTCATAATTAAATATAAAAAGAGAAGCAAAATATTCTCTTTATTAATCATGGATTCCTCTATCGACTTTCTCATAAAAGAATTAAGTTACATTGGCCCTTCACAAGTTATATTAATCTGCAACCGTATTTACAAACAGATATATTAGAAAAGAAATTCAAACAGACCTTCCAAAAACTTTTACAATCGACTAGACCTACATCTCGTCAAATAAAAACATTAGTGTATACTCATTATTTAGACAAATTATTACAAACCAGTATACCAGCTAAAAGAGCTTTATATTTCAGGAATATCTCTAAATATTATAAAAGGGTTGCAATGAAAACATATCATCTTTTTTCTATATATGGTGTTGAATTAATCTATTGTACTCAGGAACTTAATCTACAACAAGTTGATAGAATAACTACTGCTAATATCTCATATGTAATAGGTAACTATTGACAGCTCATCGTCGTGGATTAGTCTAAGTTGGTATTCGTGGGGCTCATAATTAAAGGGAAGAAATGTTAGTCCTAAAACTTGTTAATCACTACCGTCCCTAATCTCATGTGATGATATACAAAATATATAACAATATAACACATGCATCAAAAATTCTACTGATTCTACCCATTCTATTAATTCTATCCATCCTACCCTTTCGATCAATTCTATCTATTCTATCTATTCTATCTATTTTACTAACTATCTCATTCTTATTAGCATTATTATATATATTAATTATATTAGATTATGCATAATTTATCCTATAGAATAAATCTAGTATAGTCAATAGATATAATATTAGAATGAACAACATATATAAATAACCAAGCTTTTCTTCTCTAGGAATCAATAGTTTACAACTTATAGTTAATAACTCATCTTTATTAAATAAATACTTGTGTCTTCATATACAAGATAAACCCTATCATGTTTTTATTAGAGTTGGCACTCAAAACGAAATCTACCCGAAACTAGTTTTAGAAGGTTCTAATCCAAAACTAGTTTCAGATTTTTGAAAAAAAATCCGAAACTCCGAAACCCAAAATTCCGAAACTATAATCTGAAACTCTGAAACTATAATATAAAATTTTTAAAAATTATAAGTTATAAAATAAATTTATTTTAATAAAATATTTAATAAAAATATATTTATATAAATAAATAAATAATATTAAAAATATAATACTAATAAACTATTTAATATTAAAAATATAATACTAATAAACTATTTTATATTATATATATAAAGATAAAAAAACCTTAATATTAAGGAAAAAATCTTTATATATATAATATAAAATTAAATAATAATAATAAATTTAATTATTTAATTTTTAATAATAATAAATTTCATCAATATCATCAAAATATTTTTGTGCTAATTCATTTGGATTATAATCTTCTTCACTTTCTAAATCTTGAATAAAATTATCTAACTCATTTTCATTATCTGAAATTTCCATAAATTGATCATCATCATCATCTTTAAAAATATTATTTTCTAAATCAATTATTTCTAATAAATTTAAATTTTTCCATATAGTTCCTTCATCATCATCTAAGTCATAATCATCTAAATCAATATTTAATTGATTTTCAATTTTATTTTTATCTTCTTCTTCTTCTTCTTCATTAAGTTGTGCATTATATAATTCTTGATAAGTATCTTCAGTTGTATGTTCTTGATTATATAAATTTAATTCAGATGTTCTATTAGTAATATAATAAGAATGAATTTTAACTAATGATTCAAGATTTTCAATTGATAAATTTGTTCTTCTTTTTGCTGTTATCTATCCACAAATAGACCAAACTCTTTCACAACTTGCTACATGTGGAGTAATTGAGAAAAGTTTAATTCCAAGTAATTGTAAATATGGTGAACTTATTGTACATGTTTTCTACCAACTTAAAGCTGAATCAATATTTGATAAAAAAGGTGCATTAAATAGATTTTGAT